TTGAATGAGTTCGCGAACCAGCATGATCGGACCATGGGAACGGGGTTTTACGGGGGGTTTTATGGGGTAAAAATTTGTTTTTCTCACTTTTGACCCTCTAAACACAAAATTTTTCAATTTCTCTCCGGACCTTTTTAAAGAGCTTAAAAAATAATAATTTAGTACCTATATCAAAGTGTTTTTGTACAATTATTGGTTACGAGAAAATTCAAAAAATTGTAATTTTAAAATTCCCATGTTATTCTTAAGGAGAATATTGTAAAATGTTGTAGTTTGCTTGTTTATGGATATATTTTGATCAAACTTGTTAAATTTATTTATTTTATACTAAGTTATTAATATTTTAATAAAAAACACACTTTTTACCCTCCCTGGAGCAGCATGGCTAGGTACGGTACTCTAACCTAATGTTAATTAAATACATTTAATTGAAAATGAATTCAGGCAAATGGAAATTCGCTTAGTCGGGAGGTTTGCTGCGGCAGGGGTATTATTCTATTTATCTAGTGATTGTGGATTTCTGTTGATTTTTCTGTATGCGGTAGTTTATACAGGCTATTCAGCGTTTGCACAAATTAGAAGTAACCACAACCCGATGTGGCCAATCACTTTTGTTCACATCGTGTTGTGAATATTTTGTATTTGCTCAATCGCCGAATAAAGTTTTGATTTTGGCATTTGAGTAAATCTGTTTACCCTTAACACGGTCTGGGCATTTCACTTCAGCCAATTTCCGAATAAAATGCTTACTCCGCGACGTGGTATTTCACACTTTCCACATCGCGAAGTTGGTAAAAATTTCGGACATTGTCCGAACTCAGAGTTTGAGTGTAACATAGGCTATATAAATCTATATACATAGCCTAGGGCCTATACAACATTTTAAACAAATAGTGTTTTTGACTTCTGGGGACATCAAAATGAAAAAGTAAATTGGTCCTGGGCCTAGGTCCTAGGTCTTACCGTGCCACCTGCGGTAATAGCTACCGTACTTTTCTATAGGGAAATTCGCTAATAGGCTATTTTTATCGATAGTTGTAGCCTGATCAACTTAGGTAAATCTCTGTAACTTAACCCTTAATTTGGCAAACAAATCTTTTTGTTGTAAACTACTTTTTCCTTTCAAATTTTTAAGCAATAGTGTCCAAAGGACCCCCAAAAATAGTTTTAAAATTCTTTTAAACATTTTTCATAATTTTTGCATATTTGCCATTTTTGGCATTTTGCTGAAGATGCGGAGATTTCTCTAGGAATCTGATGTTGAGTTAAAATACAACAAGTTTGCCTGTATAGCACTTAAAAATAGACTTTAGGGATTGAATAAGTAGTCAGTATCACATATTGGATATCAAAGTTGTATGATTATAATTTATAATTATATTCAAGATATAAAAAATTCATTTTCTCTCCAAAAAGTGATAAAAACAATAGAAAATGGTATAAACGTCATTATAAATTTGAACTAAAATGTATGCACATGTAAAACCTCTTTTACCTAACCCGCCATGTTAAACTTCCCTATCCCAAGCGTGATGTATACAACTTCCTTACTTCTCGAGTGATGTAAAGTTGAAAAAAACTCACTCGGTGATGTAATGAAACCCATTTAAATAACATTGAGTGCTTAACTTAAAAAAATATACCTCTATGGAGGCATCGACGTTCAACGCTAGAAATCAGCTGTGCGCTTAAATGTTATTGTTATTGTATTGTTATGCTTTAAAGTATTTTCCTAACCTAGCTTTTGTTTGTAAAAGAACGTTACTGTTAGACGATGAGTGAAATGGATAATGAAAAATATTGTACGTAAACCCATGTATATTGTCGGGTCAGGTAAAATCTTGTACTTTACACGTTGCGCAAGAGCGTGTTTACATCTCTTAGGTGAATTATGCAACTCGCTTCCGCTCGTTGCACAACATTCACCTGCGTGATGTAAAAACGCTCTTACTACACTTTTAATGTAAATAGCTATTATACTATGTTATTACAATAGAAAATACATTGTTGTATAATTTATTGATATTTCATTAGTCATGCCCACTAATAAGATTTATTGCAACCATTAAACATAACATTTTGTAATAGGCATTAATTGTTACAATAGTACTTAAAAATAGATCATACATCAATTATAAATTTCAATATATACAATATCCTATTTAGTATATAAACATGATATGTCACTTTTTAAATATTCTTCCTGTGTGTAAAATGCTTTTGATTTTAAAAACTCAGTAATTTTTCTTTTAAATTGGTTTAAAGGTAGTTTACGAAAACAAGTGGGTAGTTTGTTGAAGAAAATATGAGGATGTAAAAATAGCTATTTAAAGATTTTGAAAGTTGGATTTGAGGTGTGACTACTAGGTTTACAAGAAAATCATTTGAAATTCCATTAGAGTCATGTTCATCAAGAAACGTAATTTACTTTTGGTGAAAAGCCACAAAACAATTGCTATTTTCATTCAGTTACAGCCTCGCATTGCACCTTGGACACTATCGACGATTTTCCATTTTTGCAAAATCTGCATCGACCTCTTGATGTATAAAAAAGGGTAGTGTCAAACACCATCAAAGCGTACATCTTCTACAGCAGGGTGTCTACCAACCGGGAAATCCGGGAAAACCGGGAATTGTACTTAAATTTTTACTGGCCATGAAATGTACTGGAATTGTCCTTAAATGCTAGACTATGTCCTTAAATTTTTAATGGGCCATAATTTTATTGATCGCTAGTTGGTTGGGAGCACATAAAAGGTTTATCAGATGTTTGTTTACATTTTCATAATTTATTACTAGAGTAATTATGCAATAAAAATCCCATTAACAATCTCAAACCCATAAATATTTTATCACGACAATCAAGTGTCAAGTCAAGTACTTCCAAGAACTGTTGACTCAGCAGCTAGCTCATAAAAGTTGTATCACTTTTATTCCTTTACAACTTCTTTTTTTATTACTAGGGTAATTATTATTAGATCCCAAACATATTTTATCGTGAAAATAATAGCTTTATAATGGCTGTTAAATTTCACTTCTTACTCGTACTTTCTTTGCCTAGTGCCATAAAACTGTTTATGGTTTCATATTAAACATGTAAATAATCTACAGTCTTATTTTGTAAGTTAACCCCTTTTTTATGGACATTTTATCTTTCAATTGACAAAACCACAAGCATTGTTGTTTGCATTAATGTTTTATCACTATGTAGGCCTGCTTGGTTTCAAATTATGTCATTGCATTTTCTGTATCTTTGTCTTATATTGTTGGCTATTCAGGTTTCAATGTTTTTTGTTTCCCATATATTTATTTATTGAGTTGTATGCTTTAAGCAATCAAAATCTTATGAACTAGAATGATGATAGTGACTTTGCTGCTATTATAACCTCATTGTTTGTTACTCAGTTTATATAGGCCCTCCTAAATAATTAGGTCTAGGCCTGGGTATTTTGATTCTTGAAAGAGCTGTAAAATATATTAAGAAAATGTAATTGAGCCTAAGAAACAACTAATGATTGCTATGTGTCGATATTAACTTTGCAAATGAAAATACAATAATCTTACTCTGTGCTTATTGCTTATTAATAGCCGCTTACCAAACCTTGAAGAATTGAGTAACGATATGCATTAAAGATTTTTTTTCAAAAGTAGTCGAGAACCTAACGTTGTGCCAGGGCGAATCATGCCAAATTAATCGGCCTGGATCGGATAAGCTATGTTATGAAGTTTACGTGACTGATGGAGATATTTGTCCCTATCGCAGGAGACAATGATTGCGTTTCTCTGTTACACTATAAAAGCTTTACCTAAAGTATAGGTAGGCCTATGTTTGTTTACTTTCAATAAATTTCTATTTTGTTATTTTTAACTCTTATCTATTATTATTTACTTTTCTCTCTGGTACAACTACAGTGAATAACAAGATTAATACAGTTTGACAAATCAGGAAAATTATTCGGTAGGCCTAATGACACCGACAAAGGTTACGGCAAAGTGTCCTTAAATGTACGGGAATTGTCCATGAATTTTTTATCCAGAATGTAGTAGACACCCTGGCTTCAGAGCAGCTGGTGTGATGGTGTTTTTTGTTTTGTTTTTTTTTTCCGGTAGCGGTGGATCCTTGTCTTTCAGATATATAATCGGCATATTTGAAATAGGTTACTGTAAATAAGTAGGCTAGTTTTATTAATATAATAGTTGTGTTTAATAAACATTTATATTATTTTAACTATCACATGATGATATTTCCTGGAATGCTTATTACCAGTTAGGTTATCTTAAAATGGTTATACAGTAGACTCTCGCTCATCCGGATCGGCCTTGTCCGGACTCCCGGTAGTCCGGATCGGCAATCGTGATTTTTTTTTGCGGCACAGTACAGTAGAAGTCCGATTATCCAAGCGAAACGGGACCGAGACTACCTTGAATAATGAAAAAAATCGGATAACACGGCGGTAAAAATTATTACTGGTGGAAATTATGCCCGGGCTATCATTACTGTAGACCTGGAACAAAATTCGGACGAAAAAATTATACCGGTGGAAGTGCATATGCCCGGGCTATCATTACTGTGGACCTGGAACAAAATTCGGCCGAAACAATTATTACCGGTGGAAGTTCATACGCCCGGGCTATCATTCTGTGGACCTGGAACAAAATTCAGCCGTAAAGATTATTACCGGTGGAAGTGCATATGCCCGGATATCATTACTGTGGACCTGGAACTAAATTGAAAAAACGGCTATATACAGTATTGTGTATTTGCTCGACTCTCGATAGTCAGGATTTTTTCGTAATCCGGACCGGACGCCCGCCACATTAGTCCGGATGAGCGAGAGTCTACTGTACAGTAAATTGCATTATTCGTTGGGCTATACTATTGAGAAACGAGTTGTTAACCCTATTAAAATGCACAATTGGGAACGGGTTCTCTCGTTAAACATTATTTAAATTTTTTTAAAATAGCCTAGCCTATAAAATATAAATTTTTGTTTGTTCAGGATTAGGTGGATCGCCTACTATAGTGGAAGTGGGTGGAGTGCCATATCTTCTACCTCTTGTAAATCGCTCAAAGGTTTATGACTTTAAAGACATCAATGAAATGACAGGGGTGGATCCTGCATTTGTGATTGGGGCCGGAGCAGGTCCTTTTGTATATGCTGGTGTTAACTGTGAGGTAGGTTTTAAATAACCTAAGCCTAAGTTGACCTGTGCAATAGTGAATTATTATTGAAAACTGATATACGATAATCAAGTTTTGATGACTATTGATTTTCAGCTCTTCCTATTTTATTGAATCAATTTTTGATAGACAAATAGTTCAATTCTGTTTGTCCTAATATTATGTATACTTGTTGTACACATTATATTTTGAATTGTTCGATCCCGCTTATCAGCTAACATTATATACGGTACCCCGCATATATTATAGGTACTCAGTAATCTAATTTTTTTATGACCGACAATTTTAATTTATTTAGATACAAAATTTTCTTCTCTTTTACCACCATTGTTTTTTTTTTATTACAAGCTAAGTGAAGCAATAAAAATTATGTTGCAACTAACAAGCCACACAGCCTGTTGTGGTTAAATACAACAGCCCCTAGGAAAATAACAGTTAACAGTTATAGTTAACAGAAATCCATGCACCACTTTACTCACTAATATTAATGGTACAGATTAAGAAGCACATAACTTTAGAAACACACACATAACATAAGGAACACACCACAAATGAAAATTGTGAACATGCAAACAAAGAAAAATTAATAAAATAACAATACAAAAATCAGCAGTTAAATCATAAATACATGTTTCATATGATTAGATTATGCATACTGGCAAACCCATTAATGCCATAAATCTAAAAAAAAATCAAACTTTCACAATTATTTTCCACTAGCTGTACCCGCGGGCTTTGCCCCGTTTAACTTCTTAATTTTCAAGATGAGCTCGTTCGCATGGCTCAATCACGTCCTGATTGAAGTTCTTTCGCAACGCTCACTCACCTTTAGGTTGGAGCTCGTTCGCTGCGCTCATTTGCCTACAGGTTAGCTCGTTCGCTACGCTATCTCGCCTCCAGGAGTTGAACCAGCTGTTAAGATTCTTTAATTCCATTTAAATATGAGTACTCATAAGGTTAACATGGGAAACTCCAGAGTCACTGTGGCGGAGCCCGAAAGCCCGATCAGGATAAAAACTACTTAGTTTTCCTATTTAATGCCCAAAGAATCAGTGTACCGAATTTCAGCCTCCTAGGTAAATGGGAAGTGGGAGAATTAGTGATGAGTGAGTTAGTGAGGGCTTTGCCTTTTATACACGAACTAGCTGTATCCGCGGGCTTTGCCCCGTTTAACTTTATAAGTGAGCTCGTTCGCATGGCTCAATCACGTCCTGGTTGAAGTTCGTTCGCTACGCTCACTCACTTTTAGGTTGGAGCTCGTTCGCTGCGCTCACTTGCTGGGGCGTAAAGAGGGTAATATATGACTCACCAATAATCCAAGGGTGAAGAGTAACAAGAAACACTAGAGAGTAGAGGTGGCACATGGGCGGAAGCCGTGAGTGGATGGCAGAAGACGACGTCTTGGGAAGAGGGTAGCCAACTTGTAGGTTGAGTAGAGATGAGGGAAGTGTGCACACTTTTGGGGAACACTTGTGGGGAATCCAGTAATCCTAATCCACTAAAGTTGGCACTTGACACAGGCACTCGCGACGAAGACGCGGCGGACGTAACTGCTTAGCGGCGACGGCGATAACGTACTAAATAACTTATTTAAGAAAAAACACCTTTTACAGAGTTTGACGTCGAGAAAGTTTTATTAATTGTTCGTGACAAACGATAGAAGAGCGGTAGAGAGTACGAGAAACGGTTTTAGAGGTAAAAGTTTATAAATAGAGAAAGACTAACGAAATACGGCGCAATGCACGTATTCAGCCGAGGAGAGTTACATTTCAACTGAACATTATTTTTGGAGGGGGAAGGGACGCTACCTCAATGTTTCTTAGAGGGGTACCGCAAATTTATCCATGTCCATATCACGCCACATTTTTTAACCAATAGGATTCGTCCTGCATCGGGCAACACAGCCGAGATAGTGTGTGTGTTTTATGTAGGCTTGTGTGAGTGAGACTCTAACATTTGATACAACAATACTTAATGAAATTGAAATGAGATTTAAAAATACAGATTTGGTTTGGAAATAAGCTATCACTAATTGAACAATAATTATGATGATAAATATAGTAATAATTAATTAAATACAGAACACTTGCCTTCAGGTTAGCTCGTTCGCTACGCTAACTCACCTCCAGGTTGAAGTTCGTTCGCTACGCTCACTCACCTTTTGGTTGCAAATTAGCTGTTGTCATAAATGTAAAAGAAATAATATACTGCACCCTGTTGGTAATCCTTGTAACTTTAATGCTATTGAACATCATAGAACAGAACCAACTTGTTTAATTAAAACAGCTGTCAAGATTCATTAATTCCATTTAAATATGAGTACTCATAAGGTTAACATAGGAGACTCCAGAGCCACTGGGGCGGAGCCCGAGAGTCCGATCAGAATAAAAACAGCTTAGTTTTCCTATTTAATGCCTAAAGAATCAGTGTACCAAATTTCAGCCTCCTAGGTAAATGGGAAGTAAGAGAATTAGTGATGAGTGAGTGAGTGAGTCAGTCAGTGAGTCAGTGAGGGCTTTGCCTTTTATATATATAGATTCTACATGGATGAAGGTTTCCATTGACCTATTATTTAATCAAATCTGTCAAATAGAACTGTAGATTTAATTCTACAAAGTTTAACAAAAATATCTCTGATTCAGTATTTTATAGCAACTATAAATTCATAGGTTGCTTAGCCCTTTTGCAAAAATGAAAACTGAAATCAATTCTAAAGAGAATAAAATTTCCTACAAATTAATACTATGTATTTCCTGAAAATACTCAATTAAAATTGCTCAGCAGTTTGTTACTAATAGAAAATTCAAAGTAAAAACTAAAATAAAGCCGTATTTTATTCTTGTTTTTTTTTTACTAGTTCACTACAAATTTATAATAAAATCAAACAGCTATTTAGCAAATAACTCTTAAATCGTGGAGAAATCGAGCAAAGTTTTAGGTGCTATTCTGAAAGAGAATATAATTTCCTGTAAATTAGTACTATGCATTTCTTAAAAATACCCAAACAAGGCAGTCATAGTTATCTACAAATATGAAATTTGAAAAACACAGTTTTCAATCTATTTCATACGAAAAACATGTTTTATTTTTTACTAGCAGAGTACCGGGCCCGTTCTTCGTACGGGGTTGGCGTATAAGTATAAAAGGCTTATTGCAGTTATACTCTAGCTTTGCGTTTGCAATGAGGGAGGATAAGGCTTGAGAGAATTTGGTTCTTTATATTTACTGTACACTATAATATTACAAATATAGTAGAGTATATACAGTATAGTTAGTATTACACATCTACCATAGCCATTCTGTTCTACCACTGCACCTAAACAACATAAAAAAGTAAATTATCAAACTTTCATACTATACCACAAATTATATGTATTAAATTTAAAACATAAACATTACTGTACACAATCCTACTTTGCCAGTTCTCATTGTGTATCACAGCTTTTTGATGCTGCTTACTTCAAATTAGCTGTTACCATAATTGCAAAAAATATAATAGTTCTGCACCCTGTTGGTAAACCTTATAACTTTTTAATGGTATTGAATATCATAGATCCATCTTGTTTGGTCGAACCAGCTGGCAAAATTATTTAATTCCTTTTAAATGTGAACTAGAGTACAGTAGGATCTCGTTAATCCGGCCCTATATGGGGATTATAGGGCCGGATTATAGAAAATGCCGGATTAGTGGAAATGCATCAGAAATTGAATTAGTTTTACAATAAACAACATTTTTATTGCTTACGAAAACTATGATAACAATCATTTGAATTTCCGTACAGTATAGGCCTAATGAAATGTTGTTTAATGTATTATTGTGAAAAAGAAACAGTGATATGAAACAGCAAACAACCGTACAGTACAATATCAGACAATGAACTGAAATGAAATGAAATGTAATGTGTACAAAATTAAAATTACAGAACTGTAGGCCTACTGCACACTTTACATGTAAGACCTACTTAAACAACAGCAAAATAGTTTGTAATATTTTTCTACTTCTTTGCATTAAAAGAATGTTTTAAAACATTTTACTGGAGCCTCTTTAGTGTCATAATATCGGAAGCCGAAGCACTGTTTTCTTCCGCCCAAGTTATTGCAGTTGCGTAGGCACAGAGCGCCGAATCTGTGTTGACTGTGCGTGCAGTTGCAGCTGTCGACGTACTGGCTCCGCCCACTCCACCCTCCTCATCACCCTCCTCCACGTCACTGCCGTCTAGAACATCTTCGATGATCTCATCGTCTGTCATGATTTGACACTGCTCGTCGTCTGCTCCGTCTTCATCGGCTGATGTCAGATCTTCTGGATAGTCTACTAATTGTTCGGCTATTGCTTCTCTCAAGTAATTTAGCTCAGCATCTGTTAACACTGTCGTTTGAGGATTTGATTGTCTTCTGTAATCCTCTAATAAATCAAGAGAAGGCCACAACTTCGCCCATGAACAAACAATTGCTCTTTTGACAAAACACTGTACAACAGGGTTTTTTTGTAATTCGTTTTTATAGTTTGGATCACATTTTGGTCCATGGTTTGGAGTTTTGAAGTTACATTTAGGGGCAAAAATAAAGCAGTGATTTTTCCATCCCTACTTTTTAATTCATCCTCATCTGGATGTCCAGGACAATTATCGAGCAATAAAAGGGCTTTTTTAAGCAGTTTCTGTGTTTTCAAAAACTTTTTTACCGATGGAACAAAAGTTTTATGAAACCATTCCGAAAAAAGAGTTTTTGTCATCCATCCCTTTGTCGAGTTTGTGTAGTAACTGGCAACTGTGTGTTTTTGAAAGCCCTTGGCTTTTTGGCTTTCCCAATAACCAGCAATTCTAATTTATGCGTGCCACTAGCATTACAACACGGCATAAAAGTTACTCTATTTTTGGCCAACTTGCGACCAGGGGCACTAGCTTCCTCTCTATGAACGAATGTTTGTTTTGGCAAAAGACGCCAAAACAGACCACTCTCGTCAGCGTTGTAGATCTGATCTGGGCCTAAGT